ACAGACAATACTCGTGTGGGATCGCTTGCATGCAGGACTAGAGGACGATGTGCGATCATTCGCACGTGTACGGGATGCAAACGACAGACATGGGAGGGGAGATGTGTTCGGTCGAGAGTCCTGTGTGTGGAGTCGGGTATGGTAAGTTGACTTAGATCGACGAGTGCGGCGATGCAGATGGGATCAAAGTGTGCACGATAAGTACGCGACTAAGGGCTTCAGCTATGAGGTCGTGCGAGAAGGAGAGATCAAGGGCTTCTTGCGTGCATGAGTACGAATGAGCAAGCGAGAGGACGCTTCTGTCGTGTGAGGGAGTTTTGTGTCGTGAGTGGGGCGGTTGTGAGATTGTACGTGAGTGGGGTAGTGGGAATCGATTGCTAGTTAGAGGTCGACGCATGAATGGAAGAATTCACTAACTTTAGAACACTCAAATTATGACCTAAAATCATATTTAAAAATGTCTAAGTGGAAGTTCCAATGTGAAAAAAAAAATGAAAGCTCCAATTTGAAGGCAAAGGAATGCCATTATGGGTCTATATAAACATGAAAAGATAACTAAATGCAAGAAAATGAATTATTTTTTAAATGCATAATAAGAATTTGAGCAAATTACCAAAATGGTCAACGCCTATTTATGAAGGTCCAATATAATCTCAAACTATGTAAGAGTATCGATTTAATCCCCAAACTCGTTAAAAAGGGACCAAAATGGTCCCACCATTTAAATTAGTGGTAAAAATTAACCCAAAAAAAAAAAAAACCTTTTGGATTGATGGAAACTCTCATAGCAAGTCTTTCGTACATTATTTTAGATTTTTTTTTTCTTTTTTTCATTATAACTACCCTAAAAAAATTTACTTATAATGGCGATAAATTAAAAATTTGCTCCCTCCCCTCAAATTTTTATGTTGCCCTCGACTCCTGTCACGTCACTCACAACATTAGTAAATGAAACGACGCTCCGCAATCAGCAATCCTTGTCGTCCTTTCTCGCGAACCTGATCTAGGCGGCTACAAGAAGCCGCTGCTCAGGTCCTCCGCCTGCTGCCTGCACGATAACATCCCTACCCACGCGCTGTTGCTTTGGGATATCCACAACGCTGCAGGATGACGATGACGACGTTGACTTGGTAAGTTGTATGTTTTACATTTTTTATTACAAAACAAAATTTGAAATAAAATTTCTTGATTGAAATAGAAGAAAACTATTCATCTTATTTAAACCTTAGATCTAGAAGTTCAACTCATGATTGTAGAAAAAAATATATAGATTAGGGTTTATTTTTTAGGGTCTATTCTCTTTAGTTAGTGATGATATCTATTTTTTTAACATGTGATGGAGAAAACATCAATTGGATGCAACAACTTCAACATAGCGAATGTTGCTGCCTCAACCAAGGTGGATAGGCCGTGAGAGTCCATATTATTACAAGCTTATAATCTAAAAGAAGGGAACTAAAAGGAAAAGTATCATGATCTCAATTGCATGGTATTTAATTATATGCTCAAAAAAAAAGATAGGTTAGTTTTGCATATAGCTAGTTTATGTAATCTCTTGTAAAAAGTAAGTACATGCACCTGCTAGGTCTGCAAGATCTCTTAGCTATCTAAATCATGTTGTTACAACAACCACAACATCAAGGCTTTATCCCACTACTTTATCCCACTACGTGGGGTCGGCTACATGAATCCTTTTTCTCCATTGTGTCTTATTAAAGGTCAAATTCTCGTTTAAATCTAATAAAGAAATGTCATTCATAATATTTTCTAACCAAGTCCTTTAAGGTCTGCCTCTACCTTTCTTAACATAAGTCAAATCTAATACCTCTACTCTCCTAACCGGGTCATTGGAAGGCCGCCGTTTTATGTGACCAAACCATCTAAGGCGACTCTCTCTAATATTATCTTCTACTGGAGCTATTCCAACCTTTTCACGTATATGCTCATTTCGTATCCTATCTCTAAGGGTAAAGCCACTCATCCACCTGAGCATCTTCATATCTGTCACACATAACTTAGTATTATGCTTCTCTTTTAATGGCCAACATTCAGCACCATAAAGCATTGCAGGCCTCACTACCATCTTATAGAATTTTCCCTTAATTTTGAGAGGAACTTTTCTATCACACAACAAGTCTGATGCATTCCTCCACTTCAACCATCCAACTTGAATTCTGCTGATAATATCCCCATCTATTTCACCATCACTCTGAACAATAAATCCAAGATATCTAAAACGTGTACTCTTATTAATGACTTGATCGCCCAAAGTAACAATCCCCTCACTGGGTCTATTACTACTAAAATTACACTCCATATATTCCGTTTTAGATCTACTTAAGCGAAAACCTTTAGTCTCTAATGTTAACCTCCATAATTCAAGTTTACTTTCAACTCCCTCTCTAGTCTTATCAACAAGAAGAATATCATTAGCAAAAAGCATACACCAATGTACATCCTCTTGCAAATGTCTAGTGAGAAAATCCATGACTAAAGCAAAAAGATATGAGCTTAAGGCTGATCTTTGATGTAACCCAACCGAAATAGGGAAATACCTGGTCAAACCACCTTGTGTTTAAACACAAGTAATAGCTCCTGCATACATATCTTTAATGATTTGAATATAAGCAATATTATTAACTCCTTTCTTTTCAATAACTCTCCATAGCACTTCTCTTGGAACTTTATCATATGCTTCTTCTAAATCAATAAATATCATATGTAGATCCTCCTTTTTATCTCTATATTTCTCCATCAAACCTCTTAATAAATGAATGGCTTCCATAGTCGATCTACCCGGCATGAATCCAAATTGATTTTGAGAAACATTAGTATCACGCTGCAACCTATGCTCCATAACTCGCTCCCATAGTTTTAAAGTATGACATGTTAACTTAATTCCTCTATAATTCGTACAATCTTGTGCATCACCTTGATTGTGCATCACAATCTAAATCATGTTGTTAGAAGAGATAAATTATATTACTCATTGTTTGCATTACAATGAAAATCTCAATAATACATGAGCTTTTAATGAATTTGCAATAATTTATAATCATTGATTTAAGCTTATCAACAATTTTTTTAATTATTTTCTTTCACTCAATTTTCTGGCAACCAAAAACTTCTTAAAAAAAAGTTGTCAATGCATCCTGAATTTAATAAATGGATCGATATTTGAAGAGAAAATAATGTGTATAGGTTGATATGCCAAATAACGTGAAAGAGAGGGATAAAGTATAGAGAACATATTTGTTGAAGGGGTCACATCAATCGAAAAGTTATGACTTTCCCCAAACAAAGATTAGAAATGTCACACGCAAATTTAATGTAAAATAGTTTGAGGAACATCCTACTTGGTTAGAATACAACGACTAGAAAAATGTTGCATTTTACTTTTATTGTTACCTATTTAAGCCCCAAGAGCAAATTAATATAGGCTAAGGTGATGGAGATTCATTTATTAGTGAAAATCTAAAAAATTTAAATAAAAAAATTTCTAGGAAATGCACACAATAAGGTGAGACTGAACTATAAGACTTAATGATGTATCAAAAACATAGTCTTCCTACACTATAGTTGAGCAAGAATGAGAAGAACAAAAAAAATATATCTGATCATGTTGAATGCAACTGTTGATTGTGTGATTTCTTCTACGACAAAGATTATCATTTCGAGGCCAAGATGAGTCATCTAGTTCAGATTACCAAGGGAATTATATAAAGATACTTCATTTCTTACTAATCATAATGAAGAACTACAGAAAGTTTCATTGGCAAATGCAATCTTAAATTTGAACTTAATTTCATTAAAGGTTCAAAAAGAACTTTGTAGTGATGCAGCTGCCAAGACTTTTTCTTCTACCATGAATGATATTCGCGATACATACTTATCAATTTTAGTGAATGAGTAATGTGATGTGTCTACGAAGGAACAATTAGCTATTGTTGGGAGATATGTAAATAAATTGGGTCAAGTTATTGAGAGATTTATTAAGTACTAAGCATGTTTCCTCGTCCAATAGAGTTGTACTTAAGGCATCTTTTGAATCTATACTAGCAAAGCATTCACTAAGCATGCACAGGATACGTAGCCAATGATATGACAGGCACCTAATATGTGAGGGAAGTTTTATGGTTTGAATATACTGATACTTAAAGATAATCCATATACATTATATGTTCATTGTTTTGCCTATCAATTCCAATTGTGCTTAGTGGTTGTAGCAAAGAATTATTAGCATGGAAAGCATATTTTTTAGATCACTTCAAGAATTATGAATATTACAAGCTAGTGTTTCGTGTAAGAGGACTGAAACTCTTAAAATCATTCAGCATGATTGATGTTTCACTCATAATTCCTAGCATATATTAGAGGTTAACTTCCATTATACAACAGCTACCATACTTACCTTAACCTGCAATCTTTCTATAGCACTTCCTTAATCCCTTTACTCACCTGAAACCAAAATCACTACACAAGTGGGGTGGTTAAACATCCAATGCATTATGCATGTAGCAAAGCTTATGTCCATGGAAGATGTCAGAACAGCAATTAGATAGGTATTTAAAAATTTGCTTTCTAGTTATTTGTCTGTTTCTAGTCATGACTTTTGAATCTATCTTATGTGCTTACTTGAAATGATTTTTTGATTCAATGAAAAAAATATATTATTCGCCCAAAATTTTGATTTATTTAAAACTGAAATCAATAGATCAAACAATTTTTCTATTCGGCTACATTCGGTTGTGCATGTAATTTGGTCAGATCAATTTTTTGGATTTCAGAACCAACCAATTCATTCAAACAAACCGAATGTAATACCCTAGCTAAGCAAGCTAATAACTAAAAACTTGTAACTAAGCATTGTTATAAACTAAAAATACAAATTTTAAATCAGAAAAATATAATGTAGATCACATAAATATTAATAAGAACAAAACAGACAACAAGCAATATGCTGAAATCAATTCAATGCCTTTTGCGTTTGACAATTCTACCTTCTGACGTCCAAGAAAGCAACCATCAGGCTCTATGGACCCAAAAAAGTCAAGCTTCAGAAGGCAACCTTTCATCTTGTCAAAGTAAAGGCCTCTGATGGGAAAAGATGGGTCGTATTCAAATTGCAAGCAGCTCTCGGGATACTTTAGCTGCCACAACCGCATGAATTTAAGAATATTAACGAGTAAACATTTAAGAAAAAATTAAAAATAAAAACTACTGAGGTCTGACCTCACGAACAAGAAACTTCTTGGCAAGATCATACGTCAAGCTTTGCAAATTCTTCGAGTAATGAGCCAGTGTATAGTCGTAATCAAACCCATACACTTGTATTTTATCCAGCCTAAGATTCTTATTCACGTAGATGCCTATATTTAAACAACGGAACATTTTTAGGGTTACTTCAAGTTGAGGCTACCGCTTCTTTGAATCAAAAGTTTAGCCTACTTGACTCGCCTAGATAGATTTGTTGTTGCTTACGTTTTATTTCTAAATGTTAAAAAGAAAGAATCGAAGCAGTACGCACATTTCCAATCGGAGAAATGCAATTACGTCTAATAGATGTCTGTTTAGAGGGAGGCCACAATATTCAAACAAGTACGAAGAAACTAAAAGAGACCTTCAGGATTCATCTTAGGCATTTTCCTTAGTGCCGCGGGGATGTTGCCGAAGGACTGTTTTGCACCCTCGAACTCGATTCGGATTTTTTCAATCTCATTCGTGATTATCGCTGCGCTTCTTGAGCTCGTCTGGTCAGTAAACCACCGGCGGGCTGCTTCGACGCCCAAAACTGTACTTGACATATCAAAATACCAAAATTTTCCTCATTAACCAAAATAAACCCAACACTGAAAATCGTGAAGAATTAAAGGGAAAAGCGCCGCGTACCTTGTCTGATGTGATTTTCTGCCCAGAGAGCGGATCTCTAAGGAGCAAGAAGAGGTGAAACGAGTTAGAAAGCAAAATCAGTTGAGAGGAATGGGGGCAAACAGAGTGTCTTGGAGTCGAGCTACTACTTGACGTAGAAAATTGGAGATGGGGCGGAGACTTCTCATGGCCGATAAACTTGGAGAAAAGAGTTGATGTTCAGCTCCGCTAAAATGGGAAATGTCAAGAACCAAGAACGAAGAACGTCACGGACTGTCGGACTCCGAAGTTGCGCGCGCTGGGAATGAGAGATAGGAACAAGGAAGAGCGGGAGGATTATTTGCGGGAGGATTATTTATAGGCAAAAATTGAGATATGAAGATGTAATATAAATTATTTAAATGAATTCAAAAATTTTTCTTTTTTTTCTTTTTTAAATATAATAAAATAATTTTTAAAACAAATTAGGCCAGCATATATTGATCAAAATTTAAATTCAATATATTTTAAAACTTAAATTTATTTAAGATGAGTATAGCACAATAATTAATTTATTGCATATATAATATATTACTTTAAATAGTTCTGAAATTTTTAAAATAGATCCCTTATTAAACTATTCAAGGAAAATTTTAATTTTATAAGCCACGTAATGCCTAAATTTAAAGAAATACGGCTCATTCTTAGTTTCGTAGAAAAAAAAAGTTTAAAAAATTCATTCAAATTAAAATATCACTGCAATTACTTGTATATTATCATACGTGAGAGATGAAACATTTTCTACTACGGCTTTCTCGATTATTATCATTGGCATCGTCATTTAATCTTTCTTCTAAATTTCATTGATCAATATATTTCTTGATGATAAAATTAAAAATATCATCATTTAATGTGACCTTAGGCAAAGAAAGTCAAAGATGTACTATAATTATTCCTCACCTTTAATTAATCCCTAAATACAAGTGCAGAGTGCATAGTGCATGTATCACACCCCGGGTCCGATCGGCGATACACCCCAGCAACATGGGACACGATGAAGTGATAGAAAGACATGTTTTATATTCACAAAGAGAAATATGCATATAAAAGGTATACAACATGATATGTACAACAGAGTAAATAAATGAAGTGAATTAAAAAGTCAATTCATTAATAAAATGCAAATAATTAATATATATAAATAACAATAGTTCTGATACAAGCTAAAATGAATGTAAATAAAACAAAAAGCTAGAAAGAAACTAACCAACCCTCATAATCAAAAGCATAATAAACTATTACAAAATATAAAATGCCAAAAAATATCTATTACTAGTAACTATGCTCCTTTGGTGATAATCCACTAAATACGCCTGCAATACCTACTATAAAAAGAGACAATGTGTAAGTAGTAATAATGGCACATTCCATGTATCCTTTGTATATGTCAAATAGCTACTAATGTCAAATCATTTTAATTCTTACAAATGTATAACATTAAATATATATGTACCTCAAATACCTATGAGTCATTTATCATTTTCAATTCATGTCCAACTATATTTAACATTCATAGGCATATACTATAGTCAGTTTATCAAATATCTATCACTGGGATGGTAAACACCAACCCAAATAAATTTAGTGATTTCAAGTAGAGTCGTCAATCCGAGGGCCCATCGACCCCGACTAGCCAATAACCAATAGGGTTCTATGATGTGCGTGGGGCTGGGTTGCGCAGGTGTGTGTTAGGCACATATATGTGAAATATGCTTTAGTTTTCTTTGATATAAAATTCTATCAAATAATGTAAGTACGCGTATCGATCAAGTAATAAAATTGATATGATAAAGTGTCGATCTCATAAGAAAGTATTATGTAATAATGCAAATGTTCTAGTATTGTTTACTCTAGCTAAAATATTTATCTTACCAATAAAAATCAAGTTTTAGATTATGTCTCTACTAAAAAATTATGAGAGAAAAGATAAAATACCAGTTGATAAAATATTTTGGACAAATGATCGTGAAGTTCCCAAACTTTCCTAAGTAGACTCTTATAAGTTAGTTGTGAATCAGAGCATATACATCCTTAGATCTCCATCAAGCTTATAAGAAAGTGAAGGAAGATTTATGTCCCTCCTACAATTACTAATTCTCCATAAACTCTAAAACACTAATCATCATATATCTAGGTATGCAATAATTCTATTTAAATACTCCTAATCATTATAATATTCCTCTATCTAGATAATATATCAAACTATATTTAACTCTATAATTACCATCACATAGATTAAATTAAAAGCATGAGATATTAAAAATATACAATAATTCATTAAAGCGCAAAATTCTACATTAATACTAACAAAGGTTTTACATCATTAGCCTAAAACTAGAGAATTAGCAAACCATTGAATTAAAATAGAAAAACACAACTCATTGATTGCATAAAGGAGAAAGTACAAGAGTCAAAGTGGAAATAAATATCACCCAAATAGTAAAATTTTACTCTCCACACTCGCCTTACTCACTCTAAAAGCATTCTTGCTCATAATAAGATATGACAATGATCTCCAAACTGTCATTACCCAATCCGACTAGGACAAATCCTATTATGTTGAGCTGTGACATGCAAATCCCAATATTTTGTTTTGAAATTATTTTAATTTTTTTGCTAATATTTGTTAAAATAAACTACATAATATAAAGCTACCAAAACATTCAAATACTGAAAATAAACTCATCTATAAAGTTTTCTTCATTTCATCAAAATAAGTATCTATACTATAGTACATAGCTACAGGTAAAAGCTACATAACTGAAGATTTAACTAGCCATGATTATACAAAAATCAAAATAAAAAAATATATATAATCTCATATCTAATCCTGAACTACTAGTCCACAATCTTCTTCCCCTTCCAAGATCCTAAAAATAAGAAATAAAACTACAATGAGCTATAATAGCTCAGCATGCCACATAAACCAATCTAAATTTCTAAATATTCTTTTATCAAATATTTGGCTGAATATTTAGAAGCAATGTAGTTTAAATAAATCATTATATTATGAGATATAATAAATGCATAACAGTTATTCCTTGTTTAAATAACAATATTGAACAAATAAACAAATTGAAATTCATATCATAGAGCTCTTCATATCATATTTTCTGGACCTAGATAAAACCTCAAAGGATTTTTTCCCTTATGACTCTCTTTTTGTTTGTGCTTATAGCACTAGAACATATCACATATCTTTATCTCACATAGAATCTCAAAAGATTATGGCCTCTTATAGCTCACAACAATCCCCTAACACGTACATTTAGAATATGTAATAGACCGTATTTTGACTTTAACAATTTTTTTTGAAGTCATTATAACTCCAAATCGCAAATTATCTTCACCATAATATTTTGATTGTAGTATTTTAATTTACACAATTTTTTCTTATAATTTATGGGCACCGATGAAAATCTTTAAAAATTTGATACTTGTTGGTACAAGTGAAGATTTCAGGACCATCACGTCTTTGTTTTACAAACTAATTTCATGATATTTTCTAAATAATATGGTTTATTTTATAGATATTTTTATATAATGTTGAAGTCCTACAATGATTTATTTGAATTTTATACAAAAAATAATTAAATTAAATATTATATTTGTTCCGTCCATGAGTATTCGCGATGGTAGAGAAATATAAAATTTATCGTCTTAGCGTTGTACGAAAATCCGGCACGCAATCAAATAAGAGAAAGGGTCTAGCATTTATGAGACACCAAGATTTTTATGTGGAAAACCCCTGAAAAGGGGGAAAAACCACAGGGCCTAGCCGGTTTGAATGAATCCATTAGTATTGCAGTCGATTAAAAATAAGGCCCATCCTTGGGAGAAGGCCTTAGCTTGATGTACATCTTATGGAGTACATTACATGATGTAAATACAAAGAATCACTATTGACATGTTCGCTTTGTTAGAAGGACTGCAGTCGGCGGGCGACGTAGGTCAGGAGGACCGTAGTCAGCTGGCGACGGAAGACTGTAGTCGGCGGGCGACGTAAGTCAGGAGGACCGTATTCAACGGGCGACGGATGTCGGAAAGACTGTAGTCGGCGGGCGACGTAAGTCAGGAGGACCGTAGTCGGCTGGCGACGGGGGTCGGAAGGACTGTAGTCTGACGACGAAGATCAGTATGACAGCGTCAGGCAGAAGTCCAGCAA